TGGGCCCCTTTCTTGTCATGTAAGGGAGATGTGTTCTTTACACTAGTGCTCTAAGACCTTCTCATACATTAGAGGCATTCAGAGGGCTTGTTAAAACTCGGAAGCCTAGGCCCAACCCCATAAACACTGGCTCAGTCTGAGAAAGGCCTAAGAAGGACCTTTGTTCTTGGTTACCTTTTGATATGGTTTGGCAGTGTCCCCACCCAAATCTCATCTTGAATTGTGACTCCCACAATTCCCATGTGTCCTGGGAGGACCCAGTAGGAGGCGATTGAATTATGGGGGTAGGTCTTTCCTGTGCTGTTCTCCTGACAGTGAATGAGTCTCACGAGATCTGATTGTTTTAAAAATGGGAGTTTCCCACACAAGCTCTCTCTCTCTCTGCCTGCTGCCATCCATGTAAGACGTGACTTGCTTCTTGCCTTCTACCATGGTTGTGAGGCCTCCCCAGCCATGTGGAACTATAAGTCCATTAAACCTCTTTTTCTTCCCAGTCTCAAGTATGTCTTTATCAGCAGCATGAAAATGGATTAATGTGCCCTTGCATTCAGTGATGGCCCTGCTGGTCATGGCTGTGCACAGAGAAGGCACTTCAGGCACTGCAGACACCAGGCCTCTGCATGTTAGCCCTGTGTAAAAGCCATTCCCTGCCCATGCTTGCCCCTGTGCCATTTAGACACACAGTAAGATCCTACTCTGCAGCACTGTTCCTTCCCAATAAAATCCATAGCCAGATCATGAAAGAGGAAACAGAGAGTGAAGATGTGGGCTAGGCTACCTTGGGCAGTCTGCGGAAAGGGAGGAGTTGGGGTTGGTCATTTGGATAAGCGGTTGCATGCCATCCATTTCCCTTCTTCCCTTTCTGAGGTCCCGGAGTGTTACCTCGCTGTTAAGAATTTATTTGTTGCATAATGCATAGTGTATATCATATCACTCATCTCTGAGAGTCATTTATTGGACAACCATGTGTTGCCGGGCCAGGCACTGTGCTGAGTGTGAGAGAGACAAAGACGGAGCAACCACTAATGGGGGAGACCAAAAAACAAACAGCCATCACTGTGTGTTATAGCTGTCTCAGTTCATTTGTGTTGCTGTAAAGGAATACCTAAGGCTGGGTAATTTATAAAGAAGTTTATTAGGCTTGCACTTCTGTAGGCTGCACAAGAAACTTGTGCCAACATCTGCTTCTGTTGAGGACCTCAAGCTGCTTCCATTCATGGTGGAAGGCAAAGGGGACGCTGCACCTGCAGGGATTACATGGCAAGAAAGGGAGTAAGCAAGAAATGGGGGCGATGTCAGGCTCTTTTTAACACCCAGATGTCACAGGAACCAACAGAGTGAGAACTCATTCACCCCGTCTACCTCTGCTCCAAGCAGGGAATTCACCTATTCATGAGGGATCCACCCTCATGACCCAAACACCTCACATTAGGCCCCACCTCGAACACCGGTAATTCAATTTCAACATGAAGTTTGGAGGAACAAACATTCAAACCACAGCACCAAGTCAAACGAGTGCCTGGGGTTAAGTTATTTGGGGAATCGCCTCTCCAGCTTCCCTTATTCTTGCTGTTTTCACCTCAGCTTGAGATGGGAAGAACAGCAATTGGGCCATTGATGACATCTTCTTGAATCGCTTGGGCCAGGTCTGCTATTGCTTTGCAGATTCTTTTTTTTTTTTTTTTTTTTTTCCCCACTAGCTGAAGTCTACTGTTCCTTTAGTGAATATTCTCAGACTCTGATTTGTTCTGACACTTTAACCTGCCATCCACCTGAACAGAAAATTTTCATTTTTTTCTAGGCAAGTAGCAGACTTTTTAACACCAAAGCTGACATGGCTTATGAGAAAACAGACAGATGAAAAGCTAAAGAGAGAAACATAGACACCCCAGTGGCAGTCTAATCTTGGTGTTGATCATCTCACCTCTCTGAGCACTGAGACAGCCTGGAGGTTAGATCAATGATGCTCTGAGTCCCAGGAGAGACCCATGGCCTGCATCTGGGGCTTCACCAGATCTAGTTTGTCTTGAACTGGAGCCAAGAATCCCAGGCCAGAGTCACCCAGCCCCAGTTCTTTTGGGAGCCTTTTTTCATGGACTGTCTCCGTCATGGGAAGGCCAAGTTCAAGCCCCTGGGCTGAGGAGGTTAGTGTGATGCCTAGCCTCACTAGAGGTTAGGAAAGAGATGGAATAGGAGAAGGAGAGAATGGAAATGACAGAGCGAGAGCAAGAGTTGAGAGAAGGTGGAGGAGGGTGGGAGGGTGAGGAAGGCAAGAGGAACAGTATCTGTTTCCTGCGGCTGCCATAACAAAGTCCCACAAGTGGGTGATTTAAGTAACAGAAATGTATGATCTCACAGTTCCAGCAATGAGAAGTCCATGATCAAGGTGTTGGCAGGGCTATTTCTTTCTTAGGACTGTGAAGGAGAGTCTGTTTCATGTCTCTCCTAGCTACCAGTGGTTTCCTGGCCGTCTTTGATATTCCTTAGCTTTTAGATGCATCACCCAGCCTCTGCCCTCTTCTTCACATGATGTTCTCTGTGTATGCCTGTCTCTGCCCAATTGTCCCCTTTTTGTAAGAACACCAGTCATATTAGACTAGGGTCCACCCTAACGACCTCCTTTTAACTTGATAATCTACAAAGATCCTATTTCCTGTCAAGGCCCCCTTCACAGGTTCCCCAGCAGAGGCAGGGCTTCAATTGTAATTTTGGAGGACATGATTCAACCCATGATGGGAGCAAGGGTGAGGAAGAGAGGAGGAGGGAGCAAGGTCTGGGCCTCGTGTGCCAGGTGACAGGGAGGGAGGGGAGGAACTGGCAGCAAAGCTGGCAGGGACAGCAGCAAAGTCCTGGGGAGTGGAACAGTGTGCTTTGCGTGCTCTGGAAAAACAGCAGTGAACAATCAAACAAAAGCCCTGCCCTTGTGGAGCTTACGTTTTATGGGCGTGGGTGGAGAAACGGACAATAAACACCTTAGTATTTTAATTAGCCAGGTGTTGAGAAGGGCCACAGAGATTCTCAAAGAAAGGCCCGTGTGGAGCAGGGGCTTTCAGTGTAGAATGGTGGGTCCAGGAAGGCTTCGTTAAATAAGTGACATTGGAGTGAACACAGAAATGAAGAAATGAGCCGTGTGGATGACTTTCTGGGGAAAGAGTGCTCAGGCGGTGGGCTGGCCAGGGTGGCAGCTCTGGGGTGGGCTGTTCTTGGCAAGTTCAAGCGCAGTGTTGCTGGAGATGGGTGGAAGATGGTGACTGTGCACACTCAGTTTTCTGAAGGCCTCCTGGATTTGAAACCTTCTAATCCTTCATCCTCATTAACCTCAAAATGTCCCCGGAAATTCTGAACTACATCTCCCAGGGTGTCTGCCTCTTGAATTTGGAAATGACACAGTATCCCCACCTGGCAATACAGCCTGATTTGAGATTTGGAAGACACAATTCAATCCAGAAATTGCTAAGTACTGTCCACTGGGGCATGACAATGGGATCCCAGAACAACCACATGTAACCCACTATTTCACCTCTGACTTCATGAAAACACACGTGTACACATGCTTGTGCACGTGTGTGTGCACAGACACACCACACACACTGGAAGAAACAACTGAGTCAAAAGGTAAGACTTTTTTTTCATGAGATTTTCAAGCTGACATTCTAAGATCAAAGACAAAAACAATGAGCAAGTTCATTGCAGGACTTCCCCAGTGGCAGTTTTTCCCCCTCCACTCTTGGTTGCAGACAGCATGGCTGCTTTACAGCCATCAAAAGAAACACAGCTCATGGTGATGGCCAGTTATCCTTCAATCTGTTCAAGACAGAAGCCCCAAAACTGAGCATGCTGGATTCTCTTCTCCCTTCTACCTACCTCACTCCCTCAGTGATCTCAGGTCTCATGGCTTCAAACACTATCTGAGTGCTGCTGGAGTCCAGCTTTGTATATGCAGGCCAGACCTCCCCTTGACCTTCAGCTATCCTACATCCTGCTGCCTCCACTTCATCTCCTCCTAGCTGTCTAAAGGACACCTCAAATGTCACATGTTCCAAACCAAGCCACTGGCATTCATCTCCTTCCACCTTCTCTCCTTCCCCATCTTGGTTCATGGCAACTCTATTCTTCCAGCTACTCAGACCAAAAATTTGAACTCATCTTTGACTCTTCTCTTCCTCTCACATTAGTCATTAATTCATCAGCAAATCCTATATGTTCTTCCTTAAAGTATATCCACAAGCTGACCCCTGTCACCACTGATGCCACTTAGTGCAAGCCAAGAACCTCTTGGTTGGTCTCCCTGCTCCTGCTCTTTGCCCCCCACTGATTAGTCTCAACCCAGCAGCCAGAATGATCCAGTTAAAACCCAAGTCAGATTGTGTCTCTCCTCTAAGGGCTCCCCTGTCACACAGAGGAAAAGCCAAAGTTCCTTCAATGCAACCAGGGGGTGTCCTGCATGGTCCTCCTGCCCCCCGCCCCCTTGGCTCTCTTATTCCACTTCCCATCAGGCTCCACCCTGCTCTCTTTGCTTCAGCCATGCTGATCTTTTGCTGTTCCTCAGCATGCCGGCATACTCTTGCCCTAGAACCTTCACATTTATCATTCTGTCTGCCTCGAACACTCAACCTCAGATAGCTGTGCAGCCCTCTTCTTTACATAGATGGTGACTCTTCCATGAAACCTTTCTCCACCACTCAGTGTCCCTTTCCAAGCCTAGCCCATGCTCCCTAGGCCCATGCCTGCTCTGCTTTTTTGCCTTCATCCTCATCACCCTCTGACCCAGTGGATAGTTTTAGTTGTATCTCTCACTGGAATGCAAGCTCCATGAGACACACATTTTTGTCTGTGTTATTCATTGCTCTACTTTCAGTTCCCAGAACAGTTTTGGCACATAGCGTGTGTTCATTAATTATGTGTTGGTTAAATGAAGGAAGCTTTATGATGGAAGGAGGAATCCACTCCTCTTCCAGCGTCCCCCTCAGTGCCCAGGGCAGAACAGGCCTTCAGCTGCTCTTATGGGAGCAGGAGGGACTTGCAAAATCATCTCCCTTAGCTCCCTCATTTTCAGGAGGACAGGGACAGTGGTCCCCAGGAAGGGAAGGAGAGTCCAACCTAGTTTGGCTGATCCCCTGTGGGAGGCTGAGGTGCAAACAGACAGCTGCAACTCCTTGCATCTATGCCACACACACAGCCTTTCTGAATCAGAGGGTATTACTCTTTCCTTCTGAACTCTTGGGATATTCCTGTTTTGATTTGGCTCTAGCAGTGACGACACCGAGTTGTGCAAAGCCTGGGAACAGTGAGGGCATTAGGACCAGGAGTGAGGCGCACGCTTGGCTCTGGGTTGTGTCTGGCAGAGGGATCTCGGCTGAGTGGAGCTATGTGTGAAAGGAAACCAGGCACTGCCTGCCGGCTTTACATCTGTTGATCTGACCTGACTGGAAGCGTCCAAAGAGGGACGGCTGTCAGCCCTGCTTGACTGAGAACCCACCAGCTCATCCCAGACACCTCATAGCAACCTATTTATGCAAAGGGGGAAAGAAACACCTGAGCAGAATGGAATCATTATTTTTTTCCCAAGGAGAAAACCGGGGTAAAGGGAGGAAAGCAATTCAATGTGAAGTCCCTGTGAATGGGCTTTCAGAAGGCAATTAAGGAAATCCACTCAGAGAGGACTTGGGGTGAAACTTGGGTCCTGTGGTTTTCTGATTGTAAGTGGAAGCAGGTCTTACACATGCTGTTGGCAAATGTCAGGAGCAGGTTAAGTGACTGGCAGAAAAACTTCCAGGTGGAACGAGCAACCCAGGTTCTGCTGCAAGCTTGGAGGAGCCTGGAGCGGGAGAAAGCGAACTTGAACATGACCTGTTGCATTTGGCAAGTTCCAGCAACATGCTCCTAAGGAAGCGATACAGGCACAGACCATGCAGACTCCAATTCCTCCTGCTGCTCCTCATGCTGGGATGCGTCCTGATGATGGTGGCGATGTTGCACCCTCCCCCGCACACCCTGCACCAGACTGTCACAGCCCAAGCCAGCAAGCCCAGCCCTGAAGCCAGGTACCGCCTGGACTTTGGGGAATCCCAGGATTGGGTACTGGAGGCTGAGGATGAGGGCGAGGAGTACAGCCCTCTGGAGGGCCTGCCACCCTTTATCTCCCTGCGGGAGGATCAGCTGCTGGTGGCCGTGGCCTTACCCCGGGCCAGAAGGAACCAGAGCCAGGGCAGGAGAGGTGGCAGCTACCGCCTCATCAAGCAGCCGAGCAGGAGGCAGGATGAGGAAGCCCCAAAGAGGGACTGGGGGGCCAAGGAGGAGGACGGGGAGGTGTCTGAAGAAGAGGAGCTGACCCTGTTCAGCCTGGACCCACATGGCCTCCAGGAGGCACTCAGTGCCCGCATCCCCCTCCAGAGGGCTCTGCCTGAGGTGCGGCACCCGCTGTAAGTAAGGCCCTTGTTTTCCCTTCCCTGATCCCGGGGCATGATCAGGTGGTAGCAAACTCGGGGATGCAAACTTTCCGTACCCTGCCTCTCCTGTCCCTAGAGCAAGTGCTTTTCAAGATGCAGCACCTGGGCCAGCAGCGTCAGCAACCCCTGGGCACTGGTGGGTTCTCAGAAATGCAGATTCTCAGACCCCATCCCAGACCTGCCAAGCAAGAAACCCTGGGTGGGGTCCAGTGATCTCTATGAACAAGCCCTTCAGGTGAGAACCATTGTCCTAGAAAGCAGAAAGCGAGGACTCTGGCTTGTTCATTCTCTTCTCCATCCTGGGTTCTAGTTCTTCCGTCTTTAGGTCAAATGGCTTTGTTTCTACAACACAGAAGGGAGGTTAGAGCAGATATTCCCCAGTTCTAACCCTCTGACTCCACTACATTTTGATTTTAGGGCTGTTGTTAGTGTTTGCTTTTAGTTTGGATCAAAATAACAATCGCAGTTTACATTTAGGGGCTCTTCCCATGTGTCTGGATTTACTTTACAAGCTTTTAATGTATTAACTCATAAAGTCCTGGAACGTACTCGCAGCTCTGCAAGATGGATGCTAGTAATATCATCACGCTTATTCTATAGGTATGAAAACAAGGCGAAGTGGCTTTCGCAGTCACGCTGCTAGTAGGTAACAAAGGCAGGATTTGAATGCAAGCATGTGAGCTCCAGTCTGCCTGACCCACTGCTCCATACCACCCTCCTTGAGTCACTAGACTAAGGAAACAAGTCCAGTGCCTGAGAGCCAGAATACTGTGCTGACTGCAATTTACCCTGCCAGGGCGGCCCCGGCCCCAGGAGGTGAGCTGAGAAGTGTAGGTGATGTGCAGAGCTGTGCCCAGGGAGATGCTAGCCCATCCTCCATACCCCCTGCTCCCTTACTGTCACCATGGCTGGCCACTGAGGAGGGAGCCTTGGTTACCAGCACCCAGGGAGCAAGGCAGCTGCTTAGTTTTAGTTTGGTGATTTAGGTCCCTTTTCCTACAGGCCATTGCTCCTCCCAGAGCCTGGAGAGTTTCCTGGAAAGCAAACATTTGTGCAGAGCAGCAGTTGGAGGTAGGGCCACACATTCCTCGGGTCCCTGATCTAGTTCCCCTCAGCCTGGCTGCTCAGCCACTCACACTCAAGGGTGTGCAATTGCAGAGTCAGCAGCCGGGAGTGAACATCTCCTTAAATTGTGTGCCCTAGGTGCCTCACTCACCTCACTCTACTTCCATTTCAACCCCGCTACACTGTTTTCAAGCCTTACCTGTAAAAGCTATTTTCAGGAAATTCCCACCCCATTCTAGTTTTGTGCCCTCCTTGCACCCTGGAGTTTTAACTCATAGCACTTACTACAACTAAAGCCAAATGATCATTGATGTGTTTATCGGTCAAATGCCTGCTTTCCCTGCCATGCTGTGAGCCCCTTAGAAGGTCAGGACTGAGTTTGTATTGTACATCTCAAAGCCCAACAGGCAGTAAAGAAGTGATTGCTGAATGAACAAATATATAGTTTTCAAATTTGTTGACACTATTTTTCATTGGCCTGGAGCAAGAATGGGCATCCTCTTTTTGTCAATGAGAAATATTGCCTGAAACAAGAGGATCCATGACTACCAAAGTGATACGTGTGTGTGACTTGTGTGTTTGCATAGTGCAAATGTGTGGTGAATGTGCGTATTTGTAGGTCATGGTATATGTGTGTTCGTGCCTGTGTGTTGTATATATTCTCTGTGTTGTGTGTGCACTGCATTATGTGTATTAAATGGATGTCGTGCATGTATGTGTAGTACATGCATGTACTGCATTGTGTGGTGCCTATATGCTTGGTGCATGTTACTTTGTGTATGTGGTATGATATGCACAGGTATGCATTGTGCATTGTATTGTCTTGTATGCATGTGTGTTAATGTGCATGTATGATGTGCATGGTCCATATATGTATTTTGTATTGGGGTGATGCCACATGCATTGTTCATCTGGGTGTGTGTTGCAGTTTGCTATTTGTTTTGCATATGTTTATGTGCTGCATGCGTGCACAGGTATTGTGTCATGACTGTTTCTTGTGTATGATGTGCTTCTGTGGTGCGTTGTGTTATAAATGCATTGTGTGAATGGTATATGCATACATGTACAAGTGTGTTTATTATGCATGTGGTATAAAGTGCATGGATATGTTGCATGTGGCACAAGTGCAGGTAAATTTTGTGGTGTGCGTGCTGTGCACGTAATTTTTATGTGCCGTGTGTGTAGTGTGCATGGGTGTAATTCGTGTGTATTGTGTATCTGGTGCATGTGCTGTGATGTGCACGTGTACTGTGCATGTACCATGCCTGTGTGTGGTGTAGTGTTTGTTTCACATGTTTTTGTGGTACGTGTGTGTATGTATTCTTTATGTGTTGCATGTATGTTATAAATGTGTGTGGTGTGAGTGATACATGTGTCTGTGTGCAAGCATGTTGTGTGTGTTATGCATGTAGTGTGATGTTCATGAGTGTGTGATGTGCACTGTGAGGTGCGTGGTGCAAGTCTGGGTACATTTTGTGTTGTGTGTGTTTGATGTGCACTTGTGTGCTTATGTGTGTGTGCGCAACACTTCAGTGGTTGCTTCTTCCAGCCAGAGTAACCAACTCATCTTGACTTGCCGCCTGAGACTTCCCAGAGTTTAGCACTGAAAGTCCCAGGCAGTCGGGAGGAAACTCCTCAACCCCTGCGAAGGGAGATGATTGGATTCTCCAATCCCCAGCTTGCCAGGGTTCTCACGGAACGGCCGCCAGCCCTGTGCGGAGGTGCTCAGCGCCCTCTGCTGGCCCCGACTGGGGCGTGCGGCCTGCGCAGCCCAGGCCTTGGCCGCAGACTCCCCTCTCCAGTCTGCGGTTCAAGCTCTGGCGCCTTCCCTTCCCTGAATTCCTCGCCTGCGTACACAAGAGAGTTCCTGCAAAGCAAGGCAAACGATCTCCACCCTCCCGCAGGGTGACAGGACTCTTCTCCTACCCCTTTAAATCTGGGCCACACTACACCACATAAGAGAAACAGCCATATGTTAAGCGCCTGCTGTATGCAGGCCCTGCACGCTGCTTTCCCACCAGGACCAGACAAGCCCCTCTGGCTCAGTTCCTACACCTGAAGGCCCAAACTAGCTCTGCCTGTTGTCCTTTCACCCCTGCCCAGGCCACAGGCTTTTTTCTGAGTACCTCTAGGGTCATTTCTGGAGGGCAGTTTGAATAGGTGGCATTTGAGGATAATTACCAATGATGCAAGAGCAAAAAAGAAATATCAGTGGAAAAGAGGTCAAAAGACAGTCTCTGAAAAGAGAGGCAAAATTATAGTGAGCCTTTACTGAGCACTTACTATGTGCTAGAGGCTCTGCTAAGTGGTTTTTGTTTTCAACTCTTCGTAGAAAACCTATAAGGTAGGTTTCATTTCATGGATGAGGAAACTGAGGCACAGAAAGATGGAGGGACTGGTGCCAGGTTATCTGACCGGATGAGTCTGACACCAAAGTCACACTCTTAACCACCACGCTACACTTTGCAAGTCTGCTACTCTCCAGATCAGAGACTGGGCAAGTTACATGGGCTGGAAGTGTTTCAAGTTTTTTCTTCTTAGAATGGGGAGAACTCACACGGGTCCATGGGGAGACACTTGGGGAAATGCTTATCACAGCATCCTTGGTGGTGCCGAGGAGCTGGAAGCCACCTGGGTGTCACGTCACAGGGCAAGAGGAGCTGGGTGCACCCTATGAGATACTCAGCCTGAGTTAGAAGCAACAGACTCTGGGTACATTCAACAGTGAAAGGAGACATTAAAAATCCCCTGCTGAGTGAAAAAGTAAGGACGGAAGGCGGCCTACAGCACTGTATCATTAGGGGAAATGTAAATCCATGCACACTAACCAATCCATTCTTTACAGGAACAGATCAAACTCAATGAAATGGTTGTGCTGTGGGAAAGGGAGGGTCCTCAGGGCAGAGGTGGGGATAAAACTGAATGAATACTCAGGCAAAATAGACAGGAGCCCATGATGGAACCACAAACAGGAACGGCATTAACTCAGCCCTTGAAAGCTGCTGTCAAAGAAGGGGCGGGAGGAACAAGCCCTGCCCATTTAGCCTCCTGTAGCGTGGACGGCTTTCAAAGTTCTTCCAGGCCCCAGCTCTCCTTTGATCATCCTGGCACCTAGTGCAGGGACAATGGATTCCTAGGATCAAAGAGGCTGCTGAGTGAGCCAGTGCTTTATATTCTACATCTAGGGACGAACTTGAACGTGCATCAGAACACCTAGAGGGCTTGTTAAAATACAGATTCCTGGCCTCCAATCCTGTAGTTTCTGATCCAGTGGGTGTGAGATTCAACATTTGCATTTCTGCAAACTCCTGGTACTGCTGCTCCACCCTCCCCCCAGGGTGACAGGACGCTTCTCCTCCCCCTGAGCCAGAGGGGCTTGTCTGGTCCTGGTGGGAAAGCAGCGCGTGCAGGGCCCGCATACAGCAGGCGCTTAACATGTGGCTGTTTCTCTTATGTGTTGTAATGTGGCCCAGATTTAAAGGGGTAGGAGAAGAGTCCTGTCACCCTGGGGGGAGGGTGGAGATCGCATGCAAATGCAAATTCAACATTTGCATTTCTGCAAACTCCTGGTACTCCTGGTACTGCCGATCCAGAGACACTTTGAGAACCTCTGCTCTAAGGCACACTCTTTATGCCAAACAGACTGGCCACAGCAGTGCTCCTCAGACTTTAAGGTGCGTGTGAATGATCTAGGCATCCTGTTAAAATGCAGTCAAATTCAGCAGGTCAGGAGGGCAGCCTCAGATGCTCCCTTTCTATCAAAGGCACTGCAAGGTGGCACCAGCACTGCTGGCCCACAGAGCACATTTTTCAACAGCAAAGAGTTACACCGCGACTTCCCAAACGTATGTGCACACCCAACCCCCCTCACTTGTTAAAGAGGTAATTGCTTGTTAAAGACATAGAGA